TGTTTATTTGTGTGAAATTGCTTTCTCGTTCATTGACGTTTCTTATATTGGCACACTCTTCAATTTTTACTTTCACTTTATCCGAATTTCCAATTTCTTTTTGACGTGCCTATGTAGTAGCATCGCGGTGATGCTATGTACTTTTCTTTCCTCGTTTTGGGACTTGTTTTTTTTTTCTTTTCGGAAGGGGAGATAATGCCACCAGCACGTAGTGAGTCGACAGCAAGAGCGGCTCTCAATCTGGAGGAAAAAGAAGATCGCGTGCTTCTTCTCTGCTCGAGAGCCAGCCACGACTGACGCATTGTCCTAGAGATTGCTACCCGATGGTTTAATAAATCCCCCAGTACTTGTGACTCATCGTGACAACAGCATTTTGCCGATCGTGACCCCACAAAATCAGCTGCTTGGGCAGGTGGCGCCATCTGAGGGTGAAATGTGCAACCAAGCAAGTACATAACTAAGCAGGTGTGCCCTGCTTCACTGCAAAAGAATGGCGATTTTACTTAGCCACCATATGAGCCTGAATCATGACTGTAATTTTCTAACAGCTCCGAGGAGCACGGTAACTAACAGACACGGCACGGCTGTTGTGACGGGGTCACCTTTCCCCTGAGCATCTGCTCTTTACCATTTCCACAGCTTTCATACTTGGCGCTGGTGGGACTGGCATGTCTTGTGCGGTTCTGGTTTTCTTTGATGTCTATGCCACAAGAAGACAGGACTGCTTGGTTGGGTTTTACTTTGGGTGCTGTGCTTTTTGGCTTATTTAAAATTACTGTCAACTTTAACAACTATTTCAACTATCAAGACCATGACAGGGGTATTTTAAGAACATAAAAGCACCATTACTTTCACAACGTCAGAAAAGCGCTGGAGAGAACACTCTCTTGCAGGTGATGCTTTCTATTTAACTGCAGGCATACTAGTCAAGCTCAAACTTACGTGGTGTGGCGAGCCATATTCTAACCTCCTTACTGGAGTGGTGAATATTCCTAAGAAAAACAAACATAAAAAATAGCAACATTTTGGTGCAGAGATATGGTGAACATAAAACAACAGCTTTCTATAGTGTTTCATGTTTAGAATGCTTGTCTGGCAGACATCAAGCTTACGTCAGACTAAAACACGAATGCTGAGGCTCTAAATGCCAGAACGACATGACTGAGGCACACAGCAATTAAACTCCAGAGTAATTTTGGCTACCTAAGGCTCTTTCGATGAGCACCTAGGTATTGGTAAACACAATCTTGCATTCAATCTCCATATAAATACAGTTGTAGTTTGAAATTAAATATTGAGCTATGCAGTTCAACAGTTTACTAGCCAAGCTGCAATGGCGAAGGTTGCTTATTGTGCCAGCATCCAGACAAGGTGGCGATGCCTTCATCGGTGCACTATATTGTTAAACACACTTGATTTCACTTTTAAAAAGCGACCATTTTTTCAATGCGCCAACACTTGTCGATTTGTCGAATTCTGCGAGCTGTACCTACTGTGCTGCCAGGGAACTTGTTTAAGCAGTTTTTCGATGTACTAGTACATGAAGACATCAACGGAAGGGCTTGATCACACCTGCGACTAGCACCGGTTAAGTGACCATTTACAACTGTTGACCAAAGAGTGTCAATGCAATAGATGTTCAAAACTGCATGCAATTTATAACCATATAGAGTACACATTTGCTTGCATTGCTATTGCCTTCAAAATAAGCTGATGTTCTGTTCCTGAGCATCTGATTGGCCCAGGGGTTGTAACTCAAAAATCAAGTAGCGAACAGCTGATCCAAAGCATTCACGTTGAAATGAAAGCAGCCATTTGCAACCAGTCACCTTGCGACTAACTCAGTGGCGCTAGATTGTCTAGTTGAAGGTGTGAATGAGCTCTAAAAACTATTCTATCTCCTAAGCCAGCAACAATGACTGCAACTAAGGCTGCAGGCACCTGTGGTATCATGGAGGAAGGTGTAAGTGCTGGTACAGATGCTCAGTGAAAGTTTGATGAAATGTCTGTTCAATGAAACACTGCTACAGCATACATCACTACCCAAGTTGATCGAATAGCGCAGCTGCATAAAAATTTGCAACAACTTTAAAAGTTCGCTTCTTCTGGTGAGACGATTCATTTATATGGAACAAAAATATATGTAAGCACTGCAAATCATTTATATTAGGATGTGCAGTTTCTAACCTCCTTACTGGAGTGGTGAATATTCCTAAGAAAAACAAACATAAAAAATAGCAACATTTTGGTGCAGAGATATGGTGAACATAAAACAACAGCTTTCTATAGTGTTTCATGTTTAGAATGCTTGTCTGGCAGACATCAAGCTTACGTCAGACTAAAACACGAATGCTGAGGCTCTAAATGCCAGAACGACATGACTGAGGCACACAGCAATTAAACTCCAGAGTAATTTTGGCTACCTAAGGCTCTTTCGATGAGCACCTAGGTATTGGTAAACACAATCTTGCATTCAATCTCCATATAAATACAGTTGTAGTTTGAAATTAAATATTGAGCTATGCAGTTCAACAGTTTACTAGCCAAGCTGCAATGGCGAAGGTTGCTTATTGTGCCAGCATCCAGACAAGGTGGCGATGCCTTCATCGGTGCACTATATTGTTAAACACACTTGATTTCACTTTTAAAAGCGACCATTTTTTCAATGCGCCAACACTTGTCGATTTGTCGAATTCTGCGAGCTGTACCTACTGTGCTGCCACGGAACTTGTTTAAGCAGTTTTTCGATGTACTAGTACATGAAGACATCAACGGAAGGGCTTATCACACCTGCGACTAGCACCGGTCAAATGACCATTTACAACTGTTGACCAAAGAGTGTCAATGCAATAGATGTTCAAAACTGCATGCAATTTATAACCATATAGAGTACACATTTGCTTGCATTGCTATTGCCTTCAAAATAAGCTGATGTTCTGTTCCTGAGCATCTGATTGGCCCAGGGGTTTGTAACTCAAAAATCAAGTAGCGAACAGCTGATCCAAAGCATTCACGTTGAAATGAAAGCAGCCATTTGCAACCAGTCACCTTGCGACTAACTCAGTGGCGCTAGATTGTCTAGTTGAAGGTGTGAATGAGCTCTAAAAACTATTCTATCTCCTAAGCCAGCAACAATTACTACAACTAAGGCTGCAGGCACCTGTGGTACCATGGAGGAAGGAGGGAGCATTATGTCACACGAGGTGAAGCTCACCATGTCGGCCCAACGCGTGATCAAAACATCAGAGCGTGCGGTAGGATTTAGTACTCTCGGTGATGTTCCATTTTTTGAACGTCCTGTGTGAGCCACCGTTCTGCGCTAAACAAGCGCGTTTTAATTAAAAGCTATCGGGCGCCACAGTCCGAAGTCTGGTTGCTTGCATGATCTCACTACAAAAGGTCACGTATTGGATCGACACAGCTGGCTTCAAAACGACTTGGCTTGCCAAGGCAGGCTGCGTGACGTATTGCTCCCTCCATAGAGTTTCATACAATAATACCTAGAGGGCAATCTGGCACTACTGTCTACGTTGGCTCCTTCAGCGGCGCTTATACCCCCATGAGAATTATGGAAAGTACAGGCTTCGGATGGATCACGTTCTTGAGATTCGTGACGCTTGTTTGCTGAGTGTAAAACAAAGTGATATGAAGTTATTTCTAATTGAAACTTGCTTCATTTTTTTCTTGCACACAAACTTTATTGCAAAAGGTTTTTTGTGACTAGGCGGTAGAAGTGAAACCTGGACAAATTTAACCACCAGGATATGCACTGCTCTGCCATTGCGTACCAGATTTGGCATCAAGATGTAATGAATTATTCTTTACAACATTTCAAAACAAACATGCTTATTTTGCCCTCGAAAGTATGCAATATTTATTTATGAAAATAACAGCACAGTATTAAGTGAGAAACATTTAACGTTTCCTCTGCTGCAATGCCAGGTGCGCCTGCCCACGTGGTCTACCCCAACGCACCTCTCGTTTTGTTATGAAATCGAGTCGGAAAAGCGTGGCGGCGCGTGCACTTCATGTCGCCATTGTTTTGCAGTTGACTTCAACGAGTTTTGGCAAGACGCACTAACAACAAACGTGAACTCGATGTAATATCCTGCACTGCCATGGGACTCTACATCTATGTGCAGTGGTGAGAGGAAAATGCTTTAGTTAAGCTGTTAAACTTGACTTATACAGCTACAACGTGGCAGTCAATTGAGAGGCCCAGCAGTTTTCAGCTTCTTTGAACAAAGGCGCTGTTTCAGCCTTTTTCACCGCACCCCACTACCCGAGCTGCGTGAAGAATGAAACTGAAACTGTAGAAAAAAGTCCGAAGACTAGCTAACCCACTAGGTAACCCTATCCAATCCGAAGCCTGTACTTCCCATAATTCCGATGAAGCTACACGATCGCAGTGCCAGATACCTATCTAGGTATTATTGTATGAAACTGTATGGCTTCCTCCTTTCTTTTCTTGATGTGCGGTACACTTGATCAAGGACTGTCTGACAAAGATATGAACACACTAACCGAATACATACATCCAAATGATATATAAATTGCTTGTTCTCATTAAAGATGCTTGTCACTGCTTTTGCCAGCACTACATATGCAATAACCAAGCTGCCTAAAGCTGAGTCAAGCAAGCTATTGGACGACTTGGATTATCTGCATGGCACAGAAATACAAGACACAGGGGAACTTTTAGAGTACAAGTTCATGGTTATCACAAAGCATAATGACCAATACTTTCTCTGCTACGCCATACGTACGAAACAATCAACAGCAAGGAAACTGAATCGCGTAAAGGGCAATGAGCAATTTACCAAGAATTGACAGAAAATTTGTGTTTCTTAGAGAACACTTTCGATTAAGTATGACGTATTTCCATAGCTACCTCTACAAGCTGATCATATCATTAAATGTATCGAAACATTTAAAGCGTACTCGTTAAATTTTGTTTTGGGAATAATTAAGCGATGATATGAGCGCGGTGGGCAACGCACCTTTCGGGAATGCGAATGTTGAGCTTGAAAATTCCTCCCTCGTACGGTGTCCCGTTGGCACCGGTGATGACTGTAACAAACGCAAGTAAAGACAGAGTCAGGGAATAGCGTCAATCAGGCGCAATGTGGTCACATCAAAATCGAAGGTTTTCAACGCGGTAGAGAAACGAAACAACACACTTGCAGCGCTGCGCGTTCACTAAACCGTCAGAAACGGCGCGTCTTATGCCAATTCAAGCTCTCCAAAACGAGATACTCGCCTGCTTCGAAAGTGTCCAACATATCGGCGACCGGGTTGCAAACGATGCCCGGAGGCAGCTCCGAGTTCAGCATCGCCAGCTCTCGCTGAATACGCACGTTACGAAGCATCGAGACTCTCGTGTAATTGAGTTCCGTAAAGCTCGCTGCGTTCGTCTACTTCTGTGGCGACGGCTCCGAGCTCGATCTTCCGAGCAATACCACGTCAAACAGAAGACACCGAAGATGAAGAACTCGAACTGGTCGCGGTGCCGGCCGTCGTTCCGTAAAGGCGCGCGCCAGCTGTTAACGGACAGGCCGAGCTGCGTCGCCAGCGTCGCTGCGTCACAGAAGGCTGCGTTATGACAACGCGTCCTCTAGGAAGATGCCTGCCGCGTGAGAAGAAAAACAGCTGCCACACTCTTTCTCTCCTTCATTCAAAAAATGTTCTCGGTCGCTAGCGCCACTTGTGGCGGACGGTGCATCAACGCAACACTTTGCATAGCCCAAGAAACAGTGGTGCACAGTTGCAGGTCTCGAACAATTCTCGACTGACGCGCCCCTATGGGCCGCAGATGAAAAACGTTTAGCTGGTACCGCCCACTGCCGTGATAATGAATGGGTGGATGGATATGGCTGTACCCTTTAGATCGGGTGGTGGCTAGCGCTTCCAAGCCGTAATACTTAATGAACCAAAAACTAGATTATTTTTTTTCCTTAAAAAAGAGTTTGAGGATTCGTACTTTGCAGTGAAGAGTTTAATTTTCACTCGTGCCTTGACTTTAGCAACCAATCAGATAACCTCCTTCTAGTTAAGTCTACCCGCTTAAAGTTTATTTTGCCCTCCCGGTCCCTAAACCCCAGTGCTTTGAAAAACTCTGCGCCATCATCCTGAACTATAGGGTGAAGCCCTTTACAGAACATTATCAAGTGTTCGGCAGTTTCTTCTTCCTCTCCACACGCACTGCATACAGTGTCTACCCCTTCGTATTTGGCCCGATATGTCTTGGTTCGCAGTACTCCCGTCCTGGCCTCAAACAGTAGAGAACTACCCCGAGTATTATCATAGATCCTTTCCTTGGCAATTTCCTGCTTAAAAGTTCGATAGATCTCTAATGCGGACTTCTTAATCATGCCCATTCTCCGCATGTCAGTCTCCGTTTCCTTCACTTTCTTCTTAACCGATAGTTCTTTTTGGTTTGGCCACCTGCTATTTTCTAAGTATTTACCAGTCAATTTCCTGGTTCGCTTCCTCCATTTTGTATCGACATTCTTCATGTACAAGTAGCTGAAAACCTTCCTAACCCAACGCTCCTCCCCCATTTCTCTCAATCGCTTCTCAAATTTTATCTTGCTGCTAGCTTCCCTGCCCTCAAACGATGTCCATCCCATATCACCTTGTACTCCCTGATTTTGTGTATTCCCGTGAGCTCCTAAAGCAAGCCTACCTATTCCACGTTGCTTAATTTCTAATCTTGCTAGAACTTCTGATCTCATGCACAAGACCGCATTGCCGAACGTCAGCCCAGGAACCATGACCCCTTAATATTCCTCTCACAACATCATACCTATTGTAATTCCACAGTGCCCTATTTTTCATCACTGCTGCATTCCTGTTACCTTTAGTCGTCACGTATATTTCGTGTTCCCTCAGGTACTCGGTCCCATTGCTTATCCATACGCCCAGATATTTGTATTTATCTGTTATCTCTAGCGTGACCTCCTGTATTCTAAGCTCGATCACTACCTTCGTTGTCATTGAAAATAATGGCTGCTGATTTTTTCTTACTGAATCTAAAATCTAACATATCTCCCTCATTGCCGCAGATGTCCACCAACCTCTGCAAATCTTCCTTGTTGTCGGCCATTAGCACTATATCATCTGCCTACATCAATGCTGGTAGTGCCTGTTAAATGAGTTTCCTTGTTTGACGAAAGAGAGGTTGGAGCCAGGTCCACTTCCCTCTAATTTGGCCTCCAATTCTTGTAGGTACATCATGAATAATAAGGGTGACAGGGGACACCCCTGCCTAAGCCCCCGTTTTACCTCTGCAGGATTGGGTATACCTGTTTTTCCCACTTTATAACTACCTTGTTACCTTTATAGATATCCTTTAAAAGATTAGTGACTCCGTCTTCCACACCTAGTGTGTCCAGTATTCCACACAATTTCTCTTGAACCACGCTATCGCACGCTCCCTTGATATCCAAAAATGCTAGCCACAGGGGCCTGTGTTCCTTTTCTGCTATTTCGATGCACTGCGTCAGTGAGAACAAATTGTCTTCCAACCTACTGTGTTTCCGAAACCCATTGTGCAGTTCCCCCAGCAACCCCTCATCCTCTATCCATATCTGCAGTCTTTCCTTTATAATCTGCATCGCCAGCCTGTAGACCACTGATGTCACTGTTATAGGACGGTAGTTGTTTATGTCAGCTTTGTCCCCCTCTCCTTTATAGATCATGCTCATCCTGCCAAGTTTCCATTCATCGGGAACTTCACCATCGATTATTATTTTGCTCCCTGCCTCTCTCAAAGCCTGCTTAGACTTCGGACCTAATGTCTTTATCAGCATAATTGGAATGCCATCTGGGCCTGTTGATGTACTACTAGGAACCCTTTTCTCAGCCCTTTCCCACTCTCGTTGTGAAAATGGAGCCATTGTACCACTTGATTCGTCCTTGTCTATTGTGGTGCATAAAGTTCTTCTTTGTTGAAATTTTTCTGCCACCCTTGTTCTTATATATTCAATAGCTTCGTCCCCTTCTAGCCTAGCACCTTGGGCTGTAGTTATAAAACTCTGCTCTAGGCTCGTCTCATTTCTTAGGGGGTTTAGATGGTTCCAAAATTTCGCAGCTGCCTTTCTATCTTTTTTATGTACTTCTGCCAGCCACTGAGATCCCTTTCTTTTAATATTTTCATTGATCAGAAGGGGTGCATCCCTTCTACAGCTTAGAAAGGTTTCCCATTTTCTTTCAACATCATCTGTCGGTTCACCCCACTGCTTAGCATGTCTGTGTTCCCTAGAGGCTTCCTGTCGTTTTGCTATGGCTCTCTTAACTTCCTCATCCCACCAACTTTTGGGTTTGTGTCTTCTTTTCCGGGGTGACTTGTCACGCGTCTTAGCAAGCTCTAGCTCAAAGAGTCTGATTAAATTCGTGTATGTCCACACTGTCTTATTATCCTCCGTGATTACTTTCTCAATTTGTTTAGTGGCTATTTCAATTTGCCTTTCTGGATAAAAATTCTCCTGTAGTTGCTCATCTTGTCTCCTTCCCACTTTCACTGCTCTTCCAAAACTTAGCTTGATACGTTTGTGATCACTACCCAGACTTCTGGAGCCACCTTCATCTATGTGCATTCCCCTGAGCTTATCATACATCCTACGTGACATCAGTGCATAATCTATCGTCGACTGCAGCCTTCCTACCTTCCATGTTATTTGCCCTTCACACTTCTCGGTACTGCTGCAAATGATCAAATCAAGCCTTTCACACATATCCATGATCATTTTGCCTGTCGGGTCGGTATACCTATCTATATCTTCTTTGTGCGCATTCATATGTCTCCTAGTATAATTATCTCGCACTCTCTTCCTAACTCCTGAATGTCCTTTGATATACACTCTACCATTGCCTGTTTTTTCTCTCTAGCCTTTGCTCCCGTCTACAAGTACACGAAACCAAGGAGTGTCATTTGACCTGCCACTTTCCCTTTTAGCCATAAATGTTCCTTGCACTCCTGTTTGAACCTTTGCCAGTCTGTACCCTTGTGCTTTGAAAAATGAATGGATGCCCCAATACCACCCCCCTTTCTTGCCTTCTGTTCTATTACAATATTCCCACGCGTAGTCCGGATCGTTCGGAGGTTGTTCCATGTCCCTGAGATGTGTTTCTACAAAACCGTATACCATCGGCCTCTCTTCCCTTAGCTGTTCTATCTCTTCCCACTTCAGCCTGTTCCTACCACCCTGCATGTTAATATACCCTATGTCTGAATTGGCTCGGCGCTCGTGGCTACGTCTATACCTTGGACCTCCGTGCCTTGGACTCTACCTATCTTAGATACTGGTGCCACTTTGGAATCGTACGTATCTGTCCATACCACCTGTCAAAGAGTCTCCCTGGTTGTTTTCCTCGTTACTAGCCACGGACTCCGTGTTACTAGCTATCCCGCACCCCGAAGGGCCCGCTTGCCCCCCCCCAAAAAGCTACTGCGCGTCCTGCAAGTCGCCAACCCACCTCATGACCTAGCCGCCCATCGAAGTGAATTCTGTCTTGTTGAAAACCACCCCACCTATGCACCTCTCTGTTATAATGGATGGATGGATGCTATGAGCGTCCCCTTTATAACGGGGTGGTGACAAGTATGCCACCAGGCTCGACAAAAAAAAAAAACCTTTTTTTTCTTTTTATGTTGGCCTAATGCCTCTACTTCGATAAATTCTATCTTAATAGAAAAAAAGGTAAATTTGCAGCTTAAGTTCTCTGCCATTTACGGCACACTGTCCATATTTTATTTTTCCAATATTTATTTTTGTCCTTTCTCTCTAATTTTCTGCCACCAATACTCTAACCGTCTCTTACTTATTTCAATCGCGGGTGTGTTCAGCTTTCCATTGTTGTCCCTAAAACCCAAGGCTTCCTGTAGGCTCGTGCCCAAACGTACACCTGGGTGGATATCTCCACATTCAATCAGAACATGCTCCGCCGTTTCCTTATCTTTCCCGCAGCATGTGCATTGTTCTTCTTCTTTACTGAATCTTGCTTTATAACTACGCGTTCTAAGGCAACCCGATCTCGCTTCAAACAGTAAAGCGCTTCCCCTTGAATTATCGTAAAATGCCTCCCTCCTTATTTCATTTTTGCCCTTTCGGTAGTTACTCAAAGCCGGTTTTTTCTCCATAGCTGCCATCCAGTAAATCCTCTCCGCCTCCCTGACTTTTCCCTTAACGCTCTTTGTTGACATACGGCTTACAATACCAGCCGTATACTTACTAGTGAGTCTTCTAGTTCTTTTTCTCCACTGTGTGTCCACGCTCTTCCTATACAAATAACGGAACACCTTCTCTGCCCATCTACTCTCCTTCATATTTCTTAGCCTTTCTTCGAACCTTATTTTGCTCTGCGCTTCCCTCGCCTCAAAACCTGCCCACCCCATATCGCCCTTTACAGCCTCGTTTGTCGTCTTCCCGTGAGCACCCAACGCGAGGCGTCCCACAGTCCTTTGATTTACATCCATTCCCGCTTGCACCTCTGCCCTCATGCACACCACTGAGTTCCCAAAAGTAAGCCCTGGAACCATTACACCCTTCCACAGACCTTGAAGCACCTCATACCTATTGTATCCCCACAACGCTC